AAATTATTAAATAATAATATTGATGATTAAGTTGAATATTATTATTATTTGGCATGCTCACATTTCGCTCCAAACATTTGAATCCAACCTGGCAGATGTATTTCCATCACTGCAGAATTAGTTACAAGTATAAATTAATATACAAAGATTTTTCGGTATCGGCCAGAAATTTGAAATTACGATATGTGTTATTCACGATCACAAAAAAAAAAGAAAATAGTAGTGAATATAACAAATCAAATATTTTCTCAAACGGTAGGTCCATTTGAGGAAAACTCAAACGTAATTGAACGTCAAGTTGTCTGTTCTATATGATGCTAGCAGACTGTGAAACTGATTTGGTGGAAACAATCTTATAAATATGAGAAGGGACGAAACATTTTTTTTATCTTAATGTAGGATGGTTATAGTTAATCTAAAATCCGATGTGACATTAACTCTATTCTAACTACTTACTTTTAAGACATAGTAACTTTAAAAAATCTTAACAATAAATAAATAAAGTTCTAGTTGACTTCAAGGAAGTCATAACGTAATAATATTCCACTAGTATATAAATAGTACACTGTGTATTTAGTTTACCTACTTTTTATTTGTATCTCCATTATTAACCACTTGTGTTCATTTAGTTATTCTATATGCTATGAAACATCATATAAGTTTTATGAACTTGTGCTAGACACATAATAAATAAATATAAAATGTCTGCTTTCCTAAGCAGACATTTTATTATCGTCCTCGATATGATCTGATACCGATTATGATTGATATTAAAAATAGTATTTATTCACCATGTTTTTTATTAATAATCAATTATACTACACAAATCAAATACATAACTACAATACCACTGTAATTCTATATCGAAAAATCGATAATAAATACTGAAATCTATGTTGTTATTACTTATGAGATATCTTGTAGAGAGAGATATTTTGTAGTAATTAATGCAATACGCATTAATTACTACAAAAATGTAAATATGCGGAAGAGAAAATGAAAGATGAAAATAATAATAATAACCCTGGACATTTCACAGTGTCATCTAGTCCCAAGCAGACACTAAGCAGACCTTATGAGTACTAATCAACTGATACAAACACATCTTAATAAAATAAATAATATACATATAAAACATCCAGACGGATACAAACAATCATACTCATGAATACAAATGTTTACACCGTGCGAGGAATTGAACCCGCGCCCATCGGAAGGAAAGCAGTGTGCTCAACCGCTAAACCATTGAAGCCGTCAATAACTAAAAAATAGGTTTTAATATTTCCCAAGTACATAATCTACTATTTTGACAGAAATAAAGCTCAAAGCTAGCCTAACAGTAAATGAACTATCGCACTTTGTTGTAACTTGTAACTTTTAATGACTTCTCAGTTTCAAAGGGTTCGTTTTTTTTAATTTAATTTTTTTTCTGATAATAATGATCTCCCTGTGCTAACGGTATAAGCTGGCGAGGCACCAGTGGAGGATGATAAGATGAGCATGAGTTTAGATCAGTTAGTCCGTTCTGACAAATTCACTAGGAACCTATCACGATGGTTTCCCGGGGGGACCGCATGGAAGTCAACCTGACATGGTAATTGCAAACAATGGTTTAGTCCACATTATTAACAATCTAATTCCTCCTAGAATAAATGTATTAGGCAGTTACTTTTGCATATACAAACTGTCCGTGAAAATCGAACTATATGATAGTGAAATACTTTTAGAGACATAGAGAAAAAGGAAAAAGTAGACATACAAACAAACATGTCTGGTATAAACTATTACTATTTATATATTAACTATTCTATTCAGAGTCGGTCTGGCCGTTTCCTACAAATAGAAATGTAGATGTAATAACTATATCTTGTTTTTGTAATTTGAATCCCATCAAAAACATAAATGTGAAATGGTAGCCGAGTTTAATATTATGATATATGCCTTGATTGTTGATTTCTACGACAAAAGAGGTGAGATCTAAATGGGTGCCAAGTTCAATGGTCTGTCCTGAAATGTATTTATAACAATATAAAATATCATTTCTTCTTATAACTTAGGATAATATACTGTAGCCTAAGGTCTAACTAAGATATCATTACTTTTTGTACACAAATTATACGAGGTACTTATTTATAACTAAATTAATATCAAATTATTTTTGACAAACTACTGTATTTTCGTATGTTTTCGGGGTATATGATATTTCGACTATACTCTTAGTTATAAGTACGAGTATATTTTAGACAGAATCTAAATTATAGCAACTTGTGTTTACCGCTCAATGCAATATTTAAAGTTTGCTAGTTATCCACACTGATGTGAAGGGGTTAACGTAAATTGGTAAAGATCAACGTTTTCATACAATATTACTTTTGGTCCAGTACAAGATGATCTCTGGTAGCCAGTGATGGATCAAAGTTAATTGGTAGCTATAGACGTTTTCATACAATGTTACTTTCCGTCCAGTACAAGATGAGCTATTTTTGCCAGGGATCAATGTTCATTGGTGGCTATCGACGTTTTCATAGAATTTTAGTATTCGTGCAATATAAGTTGAAATAGAATCAATTAAAGTGAAAAATTATAATGAAATGATAACAATTTACCAGTTTCAGATTTTTTCCTTTATATTCACCTAATTACCTATCTGCATGCCCAATTTGAACTTCCTAGGTCATCTGGAAGTGGGTTATAATTATGATCTATAGTTGATCAGTGATAAAAATGACGATATTTGGACGTTAATATCTAAATAACCGTTTGAGATATGTTTATGAAATTTGGAACACATATTTATCTCGCAAGTCTCAATATATGAACAAATAAATTTGACAGGTTTATGTGAAAGAGTTTTTGAGTTATGAGGGGGTCAAAAGTGGCTCCAAATGGTTCGTGTAAATATACACACGGTGCTGCTCGCCAGTTCTCTTACTTGAAACTCGGCTTGACACGCTACCGCGTGTAGCGCTAGATGGTAAGTTGTAGTCCAGTCGTTTACAACTCTGACCCAGGAAATCGTATGTTTAAGCCGCCGGATACCAATGTGTTGGTGGTAGTATTAGATATCTGTATTTCCGTACACAAAAATAATAAGAATTATCGACATTATCTACTAACCAATGAATATTATTTGTAAACAATCAAATCGACTCACGTCTGTGGCACGTGTTTGTACACCGAATTGTATCACGATCATGAAAGACTTAGGTTTGTTTGACTACGGCACGGAAGTACTTCCGCCACCAAATTATACGTATTCGTTTCCTGCGTGTTTGAAATATTTCCAATATAATATTATTTATTATTAAATTAATTTAATGTAAATATTTGTATGAATTCCGATATAGAAATACCAACCCAAAATGTACCTTGAAAGTTGTAATTTGCTTCATGGCTCTATGGCAGAAGATATTCCTATTATACACTACAATAACACTCCAATTTACTACGAATATGTCTTTAAAGTTATTAGCATAGGTAGAATATTTAGCCATAACACTTTTCAATTTACGAAGAAATTGCCGTATTCGAAAATTAAAAAAAAACACTGATATGAAATATGGCTGCTCTATGTTTGCCTAAACTTGTGATGAGGACGGAGAAAGAGAAGAACTTCTTAACATTCTATGGATTCACCGAGCGGATGACGGTTCTATCGTGTGGCAGAGAGAGAAATTCCGAGCAGTCCCCGGAACTTGTGACCCGAGTGTAGTTAGTACTCTGCCGACGTACATCAACATTTACCTTCCCGGCTTGTATTTCTCTCCCTGCCTAGCTAAATCTCGTAGAGGGCTAATATTGCGACTTTATATACATATTCACATAAATACATGTTTATATAAAACTCACTGCAGTTCTAGACAAGCTAAGCTTTTCAGAAGATTGTAGAGAGATTTCCCTGGTATACCTCTCACTTCGACTGCATATAAGTAACCACATAGCCATTTTCCGTTAATTCGTTTATTAATTAGTACATAATATTTATTTGTTTTTATTTCATGATCTTTAAGTATATTTGTTTCCCAAGGTACAGTGAGCTCTACCGGCATTATACGTTTAGTTTTTTTTACGAATATAAATATATATGTTATCATTATAGGAAGTTCATGTTAATCTACAATAATATAGTTTTCAGACAGTGAACGAATTTCTTAAATCAGTACAATAGTTCCCGAGTTTACTTTCCAATTTCATATCGAAAGTCACATCTTTATATTATTACTACCTACAGATTCACAAATATGTAGTCGTCATATCAACTCATATGACCTCTTTCCATTCAATCTGCTGTAATCAATTTACATGAATGTGGGGACTATCACGCACTCACTACGTAGAGTAATCATTTGCAATGTAAAACTTGTTGATTTGATACGTGAATACACGCTATGTAATAGCATACAAATAGGTCGATCATACAGGATCTCAACCTTTTACTTAAACAATAAATAAGGTGATGATGAATAGAATGTGGCAATACGTTGTAACTCTCATGTATTGTTATTACGGAGGACTAAGCTGCTCAATCTTTCACTGCCATATCTCAGTTTTGGAACCACAGCGTACAAACCAAATTGCTTGGCGGCAGAAAGAAATGTCACTTTAACGATCTCGGTCATCTAGCGGTTGAGCACACCGCCTTATTTCTGATGGCCACGAATTCGATTCCTCACATGATAAAATTGTTTTTTTTATACTACGATAGTGACAAACAAGCATACCCGTCTGATGCTAAATGGTTACCGTAACGTACGCCTGTAGCATCATGGGGTGTCACGTGCGCGTTACCAACACATAAGAAACCTTAACCCTTCTCAAAAAACCCCACGCTGAAGCCTCGTAAGAAAACAAAAAAGTATGTATCTACAAAGAAAAAGTATGTAAAGATTTCAATCAGTTGTCTAATACTCATAACATAAGCTCTGCTTAGCTTGGGACTAGATGGCGTTGTGTGAATTGTCCAATGTTACTATTATTATTAATTATGAATGTTGTTTCAGCAAGTCACATATTACGTGATACGCATGGCGTTGCTGGTGTCCTGGTTCTGGGCAGCAGTGCTCACATGTGCACCTATCTTCGGTCTCGGTCTTTACTACGACGAGGAAAAGGGCCAGTGCATCAGATATAGGAATGCCACGCACAGCGTCGACTTTGCTTATGCCATTTTCTATGTCAGCTTTGGTAAGAAAAATATGTTTTGTAATCCTCACTTTAGGTAGCAAAATTTATTCTCCTACTTATATACTTACCAACCTATTTATTTGTGTATATTGGTAGAACTATGTAATATTATGTTATCTGTGGTAGAACGTTTTGAACTGTTTGGACGAAAATATTAATAACCCTAATGGGTTATATGGTAATATTTTAATATTAATAACCCAAGTAACGTTGGGTCTATCCACCTATTATTATTATTACTTAGTTGTGTATATTGTTATGACGTTTTGAACTACTATATCTAATAAATAACTCATTAGATACATCTTTATTTTCTATGTATCTACGCTTATCTCCAGAAACTTTAATTAACTTAAAAATAAAAATTTAAGATATATTTTTCGACATAGCATCAGTACCTAGTTTCTGAGATAACAATCTACATCTAAATATATAATCTTTATCTATTCATGAAGGGTATAAGTGTCGATTATAGGAAATAGATGTAAATATATAAAGAAGATAATTATGTAATTATTAATATTTGTCATCCTACGATTTTAGTGTATGTTAACATAAGTCCCAATGTTGTAAATATTGACAAACTTATCATGAAATGCCAGTAGCTTAGATTGTGATAAGAAACATAATAATATCAATATTGAATATATTAAGTACATATAATCGTAAATACATCGATTAATCGATCGATTTTGTCTCTGGTCGATGTAAACAAAACATTTCACCATACATACGCAGCAGGCAATACGCATTTAATGACTACTGGCTGCTATTCGTTTGTATTTCCTCGTGAGACAATGTATTCGTATGTAAAATTCCATTAATATCAGCCGTTTAACTTTGACGTTTGAGTTGATAAACTAGCAGACAGACAAATACATTTTCGCATTAATAATACTAGATATTTACTCCGAATTTAACGATTTTGATTTAGATAAAAAATAGATTTTGTCCTTCCAGATACAATCTATCTATACGTCAAAACTTCGTTAAGATCCATTCAGTTGTTTACGCGCAATTAGGTAACAAATAGACAGACACACGTACGCATCGTGCGCACGTAGTTAAATTATTCATAATAATTTAAAACACTTAAAATTTATATATATTTCTACCAAAGGTAGATATTCCCAAATATTCTTATGAGAATAAGAGATATAGAGTTGCCGCAAGTTGCATTTGTGATCAATTAAATATTCTACTTGTATCCAAAGTGGTCTTCATATCTTTATCTCACTTATTTTTGATCTTGCTTTGTAGGCTGGGTCTTATTTAGAAGAAATATGGCAATAATATTACTGGGTACGAACGGAGCAGAGAGCTCAGGAAAGGCAACATATGTATATTAGCGACATTTGCCATTTATTGCTAATATTTTCTGTGTGTTCTATTAGAGCAGAGTGATAGCTATTAATCCAATTAATTAAAAATAATCTTTGTAGGTACAATACTCTGCGTCATCCTAGTTTACTGCAACTTGGCTGTAATCAGAGCTCTTTACGCGATTACCGCACCAAGAGCTGGTGGTCAACCGGTGGTGAGGAGAGTCTCCAAGAGCAGCAGCAGGCAAAGGGAGAGAAGCATGACGTCTGGGAATAATCTGCATCTTCATCACAACGCTGCCACCGCTGAAGAAGTCGCTTTCAGCAGGCTGATGGCAACATTGTCAGTACTGTTTATGATATGCTGGCTTCCTCAAATGGTATGTATAATATTATTAATTTATAAAACGTTCATTCAGTGTTCGTACAGAACTGTAAATTTCGTATTCATATTCATCTACATTTTATTTATAATTTTTTTATTGCACCGTTCTTAAATCTATTGTTATATTTTTGATGTATCTGACATCAAAAATATAACAATAGATTTAAGAAAGAAGAATGTACAGAAGGCGGTCTTATCACTAACGGAATCTCTTCGAGACAACCGTAGAAAAGAGAGTATTATATTTTTTAAATGAATTAAGCCTATATCAGACATAGGCTCGGGATACTTTACTTAACGTAAAATCGCAGCAAATTTAATTAGAATCCCTCTAGCCGTTTAGGCGAGTCCGTCCCTTTGTATGCTTAAATCTTTAAAACTACGCGACGGATATTGAAGCAGTTTTTTTTAATAGATAGAGTGATTCAAGAGGAAGGTTTATATATACATAATACATGTACATCCATGCGAAGTCGGGCGAGTAGCTAGTGATATATATAAAAGAAAAATATATATAAGAAACAAAACATTCGACATTCCTAGAATAGCGTAACAAGATTATCTATCAGAAAATAATTCAATTCGTGATTAATTCGAAGGCACGAGAATCGGACCCCAGACGTCTATTGGTCAAAGTGATAAATCTCTCTATCTATGTATATACGAGTACATTAAGGCAATTGCGAATCAAGTGCCGATCCAGCATTGTGGGCACGATGGGTATACCCACAACCCTAATACCTTACGTTATAGTTGCGACTTCCAATTTGTACTCTAAAACTTAAAATCTTTTAAATATCTCTACAGTCAACTTTCTCGCCGCAGAGTAAAAAAGCTTTCCCACATTTAACGTAGTTTTAGTAAGTAAACTAAGATTTTGCCGGTTTATTACTAGTATTCTTACATGGAGCTATACACTACAAAATCTTGCCGTAACTAATTTATTTTACAAATATCTCAGAATGCACTATCGATCACTAGCTGAGCCGTGCAACTTCGTCTGCGTCACATTTTCACCGTTTTTGCAAAATTTTTACTACAAATTCCTTTCCTAATTGCTGTAACATGATGTTATATAGCCTTTCCTTGACGCATGGGCTTTCCAACACAAAAAGAATTTTCAAAATCTGATTAATAGCATCCAAGATTACCCTGAACAATCAAACTCAAACTTTATCTATTTATAATATTAGTATAATTAAATCAAATTAAAAATACATAATTATTCATGTAGGACATTGTAGCTGCTTATGAACGTCAAGTTTTTTGTATTAATTTTATCCCTACTCAGTATACAGATTCAATTGAGAAGCAGTGGCAAGGAACTCAGCTGAATTCTTTATTTTAGAATCAGTTTATTTACATTGTGTATTTATATAGGTGTTTATGTCTAACATTAAATAAAAATTGCGTGAATTAACAACTGTTGTCATGCATATTTGTCCTTTAAGTAATCGTTTAGTGCGTAAAAATAGGCTTTGCTTAAAAATATTATTTAAGTGATGTTTGAAATTTATTTAAATATAATTCCAGTATATCCTTCAGTATCTTATTATAAATTTTTATACTCATTGCCATAAAAGGCCCATTGATTTTTTTTATAAACGATACTTAGGAACAGCAATTTGTTAATCCGACTAACACTTTGCCTATGTTCTAATGACTGTGACCACAACCTTTTTAGAGGACTGGATCCGCGTCTTTTAAGGATAGCATTTGACACTTCTTGTCCTTATTATCGTACTCCAAGTTTTTTGGTCAGAAAATTGATTAATACAATAGAGACATAGTCTAATAAGACGTTGCACTACGTATTTATTTATTGAAACTAATCTTTAATTCAATTCGCATATACTATAAATGTCGTTGTAATTGGAAGCAGTATATTTATATTCATATAATGTAATACAAACATGCATTCAAATAAAAGTTCCTCGTGTTCTGCAACCTTGAAATATCCATGTTGATGACCGCATATACTTTTCAGTTTACACTTCAGAAATGTATACTTACATTAGTAAGATTTTGTTTCACAAAAAACCAACTGAAAACTCGATTACATTGTACCAATATTGCATATATATATACGTACTTACTATTTATCGCAGATCTCGAGTTAAATCGACTTGACTGTACTACTACTTCGGTATATATAACCTATTAATCTCCTTACGTTCCATTTTTTATGACCCGATCTATCGAATGCCAAATAATTTTATTTGTTTGTATAATTTTGTAACATTACACTCTCAAGATACCACGGAATATGCAATGCAACGGAATTGCATGTATGCAATGCACTTACTTCAATTGATTGAAAAGCTAAAAATGTAAAATGAGTGTAAATTTTAGATATAACTGTACATGAATAAAGACAAACCCTTATGTTAACATAATAATAAATGAGATATAGAAGTACATAGAAAAATTCACTTAGATCAAGCTGTATAATTTAGAACTCTTTGCCTGTTTAAAAATAACGTAATTTGACAGCTCCTTGTATGTATCCTTAGCGGATATCCTCAAATTGAATCATAATTTATATATGCATAATCTGTCCCGCAATATTAATAGATCGCGCAGTTTTAAGAATGCAAAAAAATTAATTGCACTTCAGTAAGATTTGTAGCTAGTTGGCTACTTAACTGTGTGAGTTGAGTTTTAATACTTTATATTTAAAATATATTATAATAATAAAGTTCTAAATAGAATTTATAGTTACTAATTCCTCGATACTTATCTACGTAATATCATCGTTAAATTTGCTCATTTCTGACATAATAATAAATATTATATATAGAGCAATATTTAAAAATAAACCAACTCAATCGATGGAATGCAATCAAAATAGAATAACAATATTTACAAAGAATCCATCATACATCGCATCAACATTCAAAGTGGTCGTGGGCTGAATTATTGTACGTAAACATTGTCTATTATTTGTATTCGTTCGATCAGGCGGCAATTTCCATTTTGTTAAACTGTATGCACATGTCACGATGAATTTACTGCTGCGCACATTATTAGTCGTAGCTGTATTTTATTATACAAATATGAAAGATATTTGTATAAAAAAATACAGCTATTCTTCTATTTTATTATTACTATTAGGTATTCTTGTGCCTGAAAAGTGATTTACTGGATAGAAAAATTTATGATTTATTCATCATAGTCTTCCCCAGAGTCTGGCATGTAAAATTAATAGTGCATTATTGTCTATTTAAAAATAGTTTTTTTTCGGACTACTCTAATACTGTTGGCCGCAGCTGGCCTTTACAGCTTCACCGGACGTTAGGGTACGAGTGCAGATGGCACTCCAAACCCGCGGAAGGACTTATGGAACGGCTGAAGGCCAACTCTTGCCTGACGGATACGACATTCATCTGAGGGTAGGGGTTCCAACCACCACTAGGGGTTCGGACCTCGGCTCAGGCCGTAGTAATATCGATCCCCGTTTGAATTGGACGGGGGATCGATCGGAGGGGAACTTAAGAATAGTATACATTTTCCGCAGTTTTTAATTTTCATTATGAAATTTCTGGGCCAAATAATAATTTAAATATTCATCAACTGAATAAAAACTTTTTCTATATTACCGAGGTAGATTGGTTATAAAGTCGTTTGTAGCTCTGTCTTACCCATTTACCATAAAAATACTTGCTTTGATATATTCCACTTTGAAATGTAAGATATAGTGTGTGCGTAGTGTTCATGTATATAGGCAACGGTTTCTACTCTATATCAAGTGGACCGCCAGCTTATTTATTATTCCTTATAATATTAATAATATCTCAGGACAATTCACACAGTGGCATCTCGTCCCAAGCTAAGCAGAGCTTGTGTTGTGGGTATTAGACAACTGATAGAAATATATAAATACTATTTTTAACACATAGGTGCATAATATATATAGAAAACACTCAGACCGATACAAACTGAACTCATAAATAATATACAAATGTTTGTACCGTGCGAAGAATTGAACCCGCGGTCATAGGAAATAAGGCACCAGACAACCGAGTCCGTGAAATGACATTATAGCAAATTAGGCTGATAGATATACTTTCTAAGTTAACTTAGATATTTTGTAAATACATAATATACATACATACATAATATATAGAAAACACACAGAATACAAATGTTACTGTGCTTGATAGGACGTAAGGCAGTGTGCTAAATAGCTAGACCCCAGGGGCCGTAAAAAATTAAATATGAAAAAATATTTGCATAATTTCTAATACGAGTGGATCTCGCGTGGCAACGACTAAGTAAACAATAAAATCAATAGATAAATACAACAGGATTTTTTTATACAATGTGCACGCGTTTTATCAATTAGCTGGTCAGATAATTGGTATGCAGGCAGCGATACAGGCGGTAATAAATATTTCATTGTTACGATAAATGACATACGAATAAGGTGAGGCTTTATTTTGATTTTTGGCATAACATGACGGGCGTCGACACCGACGATTTATGCCTGACTGAAATTAGGCGAGGCACAATTTTCAACTACCATTTATTTTTTATTTATTTCCACAGACAGCGGTCAGTGCCTTTGTTAATTTTATCTATTTCTATTAATTGGATAAAAAAAAATTATAAATAGTTTATGGTAGATTGAGTTTTATTTAAAATAGTAGATAGGACAGTCGTTATAGAAAAAATAATTGTGTGTACACACATAGAAAATTTATACAGTGGAGTGCCGTAAGACAAAAAACCTTAAAACCTGATTCCACTGAACAGATTTTCATCGAACTTTCTTAATTATTGATGAAAGTTGAAATTAAAAAGTTTACCTACCAAAATTCCCGATCTTATTTTTTTTACTTTATATTATGTAGGAGGCAAACAAGCATACGGCCTATCCGATGGTAAACGGTTACCAATTGCAATTATTAACATTAATTAATTGAAAAATGAGAAAAATATATTTAAAACAATTGCGAGGATTTAAATTTTATATGCAATAAATTATATTTCCGTAGGTTTTTTAACAATTTATTTATTAATATTATAGTATTTAAGATTATTGTACGAATATCTTTTCTCTTTCTTTCATCGCTTCTATTTTGATTTTTACTAGTTTGATTGCCATAATTAGATACCAGAGTAGACTTGTAGTTCTATTGATTAAAACTAACATTAGAAAAAACAAACAAACTGAAAATTTTAATTTCATTGTGTTTTCAATTTTACAGGTCACCTCAGCACTATACCTGGCGCTTGGTCCCGCACATTGGCATAAACTGCAATCATTGTCAGCTCTGTCTGATATGCTGATGCTGTTGAACTACGTCCTAGATCCAATATTATATGTACTGATGCGACAACGATGGACGATCTACCATACCATCGCTCATTGCTTCAAGCGGGTCAGTATATATTAACAACTACATATGACTAAGTAACTAATACTTAAGAATAAAAATGTTAGAATCATACTAGAATCGTATATATGTGTGTGTTTTTCAAATACTTCTAGTATAATGTTTTTAATTGATTTAATATAATTTCAAAAAATATTAGAAACTATAATACTAAATTAGAAAGCTGTCATCGACAGGGAATTCATCCCCACACGCTGGAAGCTAAGTAAGTGGTCACTGTTCGACAGTGCGGTTTCCTCTAGCGTACACTTAGATTGTGGAATGAACTACCTGCCGAGATTTTCTCGAGAGACTACAGCATGGGCTTTTTCAAGAAGAGTATATTAAGGTTTCTTAAGAGTCGACTACGCGCGCGTGTCACCCTTGGATTTTCAGGCGTCATATCGTCCATCCGTCGTAGCGTCCATAGATTACGGTAACCATTTTTTACCATCAGATGGGCTGTATGTATAAAAAAAGCTGATATTTGAAGCATTATTTTATTCTATTACATATATATATCCTATTATTTTAATAACAACATTTATTTTCAACAGAGCCGTAAAACTTCAAACGATTCGCTAACCGTGAAGAACTCATGCTGTGCCCAAGATACTGTCGTCGTCAGTGATAGTTCCGGTGCCGAGATGCGCCCTCTACGGTCTGTGGCTGCTGCCTGTCCGCAAGGCCACCCTCTAGATGACTGACGCAAAACATTTACCCTGAAATTTTAATGGTACAACACTTGTGATTTCTAAATTTTTCTAATGGAAAGTTCTAGATAAATACTCTAATGTGTATTACTGTATTCGACGAATATAGTCATAAGTGTTAGTTACAAAGATATCCACGACTACCAAGAGCATAACATGAACAATTATTTATCGGAAAGTTCTCGAATGATTGTTGATTACTTGATGAAGTATGCATGTTAATGAAGTATCAATATTGTTGCTTAATTCAAGTTGAATTGTAGGATAGAATTGTTGAATCTCATTATTCCTAATAAATGGACAAAAATCTGTATAGCTAACATACGAGTATGTATACCTATGTATTAGATAATCGGCATACACACATTTAATAGTAGATTAGATAATAAAACAAGAAATTGAATTTTTATATATAAGGTTGCACCTTAAACGGTTTTGCGAAAAAAATAAACACTTAAAATATAGATAATTTCAACTTTTTATTATTTTTTAAAATAGAATCTTAATTACAATATTATTTGTATAACATTCAAATTTATGTTCTCATTTCAAAAACGGACTTCTGATTTCTGAACTGTAAATTGGTATTGAACCACAGATAATATGAGGATTAAAGAGTTTTTTTTTTATATTGTATAACGCATAACGTTACATATTCAATGTAGTAGAAACTTAGTGGGTGTTCCATTATTAACATGTATACCACATTTTTAGAGGATAAGTCAAGTCACACAAGTTGCACGTAAATTATTCATTTATTCTTATTAACACCTGTAGGTATACACAAAAACTACTAATAGATATATATTCATTTATTACTTAGGTACATGTTATGCAAAAATTACATATCAGGTGAGTTTTAAAATTATAAAACATTAATGTGAAACAACTAGTCCCCATTTGTACAATAAGCTTTTTAATACTTAATTTAAGTATCTATTGTATGTTACAACTTCTATGATCATAAAAATTTATTGAGATTAAAATTTTAAAGATTTTTTTCGAAGTGCTGTCGAAATCTGTAAGTATCCATGTTTTTCTGTTATGTTTTTTTTTAGTATGCAAGGATTATAGTTTCTTTAATCACAATGCTATATGTCTTTTCTTCTTTCAAAAGCGAGACATTTTTGCTCTGGCTAAAGACAAAGGCAAACTGTTTTGGAATAATCACCTTATCTAATACGCTAATCATGGTAACTATAACTATACTTAGATTATTATGAAATAGGATAACACGTGTTTACATAAATACACGCATCACGGATATAGGTAATAGAGATATCTACCTATGAAATTTATTACAATTTTAAGTGTGCTAAAAGGTAATTAAACTGTGATTATTTCGTAGGTATGTTGTATTACCTATATCCTAACTGTTAATTTATTAAGAATCGATTTACAAATTTATCTATCAATGAATAATATTTAACTATTATAAAATAGATGTAACTGATATCTGTAGTTAGGTTAATTTAAATTTAAATAAAAAAAATGTTACCAATAAATATACCTACGTAGATATTTTATATTATAATAATAATATAACCAAAGTACATAAAAATATTCTGTATAATTCCATACGTATGATAAATATGTAATTAATTATTGTTATGAGATATTATAAAACAAAGACGATAGACGAAAAACTGTGAATGTACATTAGGTATGTGCCTACATAGGTATACACCTACATACTAACTAGCGAACTGATCTGACCAGGGTTGAATAACTTATATTAAATCACATGTGATAAAGGAACTTTTTATATAAGTGAAGTGGTTTTGGCTATTAACCTCCATATATAGACGGAATAATTGTTGTAATTAAAAAACCCAACTTTACACCAGAGCCAAAACCTATTTTAAAAATTCATAACTTATATAAACACTTATTGCGCTAGAAACTTTGAAAATTAAGTAAATAATAAAATTCCAAAATTCAAATTAATATCTCAATATATGAGTTATGAATTTTTGTCTCTGATAGGTATAAAGTTAGGTTTTTTAAATTACTCTTTCTTCCGATATGTACAAACTCAGACTAAAATTGGCTACAGGCCACGAAAAATACTTGAAACTCATTATTAAGGGTAACTCAAACACTTCTGGTCACTGATTTATACTACACGATAAGTGCTTTCAATCAGTTCAGGTAGAGAAAAGTTCTAAGATTTATAAAAATACAGTCGAAATGAACTCCTCTTTTTTGAAGTCGGTTTAAAATAGCACTCTCTATAACATTCAGTATATATAGGTAGAATACTGCACTATATATTCGTTATACGGGAGACACCTTCAGCCGTTCCATAAGTCCTTCTGCGGGGTTTGGAGTGCCATCTGCACTCACTCCCTATCGTCCGGTGAAGTTGTAAAGGCCAGCTGTGACTAACAGCATTAACTTGAGTGTTTTTTCCGAATACCTATTGAACTCTAGTAACAAGTGCCCTATTAGTATTTAATATAAATAGATAGTATTCTAGTTCTATATTAGATATTCTATATTTTTATTATACGTACTAGTATTAAAGTATTAAATAAAATATAATAACATGAAGCCCATGGGCGCACCCAACTCAATAATTAACCTTTACCTGATAATTGGGTTGTTTTTTAGTCAGATTTGAACTGAAAACTTTTGTAAGTCAATGTAATTCACCACAGTCACGACGTCAATAATTACTACGATACATAGCGTCTAATTATTTGAAGTTAATATAATACATTCACAGGTTGCTAGCAAAGTTTTGTAACCATAGATTTCTTTGATTTGTTTTATGAATAATAAGATAATCTGTGACTAAAGTATAGTAGTCCAAAGTAGATGTTCTAATAAATAATTTGTTATGAAACATGAATTTTGTAGAAGTACCTAATTCAGTTTATAACGATAACCAAATCTTGTACTTTAATGAAACAACCACTAAAATTGTCTATGCACAAGCTTTTGATTATATGAATACCGTATGATGTGACACTAAAAGTATAAAAATAGCTAACAATGGAAAATAGCTACGAAAACCTGTGTAATCCCTCCGTTAGCTTTAACTACTGTATTTAATAATTAAATTGTATAATTTATGTAAGTAGGTACCTAAAATAAGAACTATCGAATAAATATTTTAAAAGAAAACTGTCCTTTTTATTTCTACATTATTAAATACATTTTTGACTACAAGTAGAAGAAAGTTTAAAGTATTCCATTCAAACTATATATTTTAATAATATTTTCTGAAAAGTTGCGAGGTAACAGATTGGGCTGGTATGTTATGCGGAGGAACGAGGACCATGTCTTATGGAAAGTATATAATATAAATGTGGATGGATGTAAAGGGAGGGGACGCTCTAAGAAAAGATGGATGGATTGTGTGAAAGATGATATGAATAAAAGAAGAGTATGTTCAGATATGACGACCGATAGAGGGCAGTGGAAGAGAATGACATACTGCGCCGACCACAAATAATGGGATAAAGGTAAGGCAATGATGATTCTCTGTGACTAAGCAATGTTCACAAATATTAGAAATCGATTATAATGATTATTATAATTTAATGTAATTACTTAATCAGTGGAGGTTACTAATGGCGACTAGTGGCCCCATTGCTATCAATGTACCAATGTTGTTAGGTCAACGTCCATGAATTAACTCCAGAAAACATCGTCATTAATTTCGCTTGAATTCGCCACGAGCATGGAGAAACTAACATAACTTTGCTCATCCCATCATCACTAACTTTCTGACGTTACCCATAAAAATATCAATAGTATAAGCTTTTGATTATGCCCATATACAATCCTATGATACCCACAATATAAGCTCAGCATAACTTAGGACAAGATGGCGCTGTGAGAATTGTCCAAGGATATTATTATATTATATATTATCGTATTGAAAAGTCGAGAAATACAAAGCTTTGTTCTGAACTCACGAGAAGTCAGGACGGGTCGCTAGTTAGTAATTAGAATATTACTTCACGAATTCCGAACGAACTTTACGGTTGTGACTGAGAACTTAATAAAAGTCCTTATGTCAAACTCATAGTTGTCAATGTCAAACAGCATTCGAAAGAACTTCGATTCGATTTGCTAATTTGCTTTTATTTTACGTCGTGTCGGAATTGGAATACAAATAATTTTCCTTGTATATCCCCACCGGAAAATGTTAGTTCTTTCGATTCACTAAAATAATAATTACATCATATTGTTTGAATTTTCCTGTTTATTGGGAAGAAAAAACCGGCGATATGTCTAAATGGTGAGTCACAATACAGCAAATCAATTCAATTGAGTTCAAGTTCTAAACAATTAAAGATATCTAACGAATTTATTTACAAAAAGGACCTTGTTGTCTATAAAATAGAAACTGTTAAAGTATACTCATTAAACGTATGAGCTATATTTATACGATATTATTTAATTAATATCAATATTCTTTTCAGGCAATCGGAGAGAAGCATTCATGAGATGCTGAAGGATACACCACCAATTAGAGAATCTAGCGATTCTATAAATTCGGGTACCGAGCCGAAATTCCCGACGTCCCGATCTATGCCCTTCCCGCCTGCATATGGTTAGTAAATTCCTATTATTGTTCATTCATTGTTTATATATCTAACTAGCTGACTCGCGCATCTTCGTAAGCGTCGCATTTTAAACATTTTTCGTTGACTAGTTCAGTTATTATAGATACAATGTTACTATTATATAAATACATAGCTATATACTAGCCAACCCAGCAAACATTGTTTAGGCACATCAGTTATTTTTAGTAGAGAAAATTTAAACAATAAAAACCTGTGGTTTAGAATGTAGCCTACACTCTATTCTCAGAACTACCAGACCCGTTGAGCAGTTTTGGAGGACTTTGATAACAAACACAGTGACAATTTTTGTATATAAGATTTATCTTCTAACTGTTGTTTCTAACAATATTAATAATCTTAAATTTAATAATAATAATATTGTTCTTCTTTGCTAAACTTAAGTCAATGTAGGGGGCAAAGAAATGTTAGAAAACCCACAATAAGGGAGTAAATCAGTATATTTTTTATTATTAATTTTAAATAGTGCTAAAATACTACTTTCCTTATTACTTTTATTATCTATAACATAAGTTCTGCTTAGCTTGGGACTAGTTGGCACTGTGTAAATTGTGTGTAATATTATATTATATTATTATTATTTCAATTATCATTAATAGATGACATCTATGTATAAATGTGCCTGCAGCAAATAGTTTTAAGATATCTTTTCATACTGTTAATCAATAGCCAATGTTGGTAGTTCACAACAGTTTCAATATTGAAATCTTACACATTTCATCATCAGCTCCACCTGATGTTTCTCAAAATGGTGGTGCGGGAACCAGTACGTTGCTACGTGCCGGTTCTACCAAGTTGGAGTCACTGCGTAACTGGAGTGTGTCCACATACAAATGCACCAAGCAGATCCTGTATGAGAAACTTGGCAAGAGCTCCAGAACTGTTGACACTGGTATGTCGATATTAAATAATAATCATTTTATAACGCTTCATACATTTTAATATACCTGTAAACAAATAAACGTGTTTTATGAATTCTTTCATTACATTGTCGTCTCTTGTGACAACTGTTTCGACTTCATCCTGTAGTCTTCGTCAGGGTGAGTATGGTGCTTTCACCATAGCATCTTGCATCACACTGGAAATTAAAACTCTGCATAAATTCTAACAGTGTTAAAAACAAACACAAAAATAGAATTCATGATAATTTAATAGAAATAATATCATCACTGCTAAATGTACTATCCTGCATTTATTTTTGTAATAAACATGTTATAATGTAAGTCATCTGTGTCACGTGTGTACCTTTGCCTTACTTATTTCAGCTGCTAAGCAACTTTGTTGTAAGCTTTGATTGGTTATTGGGTGCAGATTGTGCAGTGAAATTACAGGATAAGAGGCATGACTTCCTAATCCTGTGGAATAACAACACGCGAGTGCTATTGCGGACGTCACATTTGACGTCCGCAATAGCACTCGTGATGTCCACAAGATAATGTATATATATAAATATATATGGGGAAGGTTACCTCTTACCATCAGGCAGGCTGTATGTTTGATTGATTTTTAAATTCATTAAAAATATATGTCATCAGAATTAGAAGCGCAAATTGAAATGCTACGGGAGACGCAGCGCAAGTACAACGGAATATTGCGGCTGAGTTCAGCGCTGACTCAGCAACTGACTGCTGCTGGGCATACACAGCGCGCGCTGGGCGAAGCATTCGCGGAACTTGCGCAAAAATCACCAGAACTCCAGAACCAGTAAGTTTATATTTTTAAATTAAATCTTACTAATGTCTAATAGAATCGGTAATATGTGACTAACGTTATTGGCAAAAATGTCAATCATAGTGAACCTAATATTCTAGCGAGGCTTAACAAACAGTATTATTGAAATAAAAAAAAAAACATTAATTTATTTAATTGAAAAGATTTATAATATTTTATTGCTCCACATGATGATGTAAGGATACTGATAATAAAAAGACGATGTTTGTTTAATTTTTATAGAAATTTTATTTTATAGAAAATATGTAGTTTTTATTGCACGGTAAATCCATGGTATTAATACTATACAATACTAAGAAGTTCATCTCCGGTCTTGTCTAATAAATGAACCCAAAATGTCAATAAAATCTTGTCTGACGACAATTAAGTTATACGATACGAAACCGCGGGCTCAATTACTTACATTATATTTTTCAGGTTCTTATATAACGCGGATACACAGCGATCACTCACAAGGAACGGCGAAACACTGCTGGCAGCTCTTCATTTCTTCAACAACTCGTTAAACACGCTCACAAACAAGACCATCGAGGATACGTTACTCACCATACGGCAATATGAAGCGGCGAGGTAGGTTTTTTCTTTGAACTATGCTACTACTTTTGGTCGGAGCTGCCCTTCACAGCTTCACCGCATGCAAGGCAAGGTTATGTACAGGTCATGTAGTCGTTACGAACACTACTGGCACCTCTTTATTTCTTCAAAAACTACTTAAACACGGTCAAAAACAATATAATTGAAAAAACTACTACATATGAAAACAAACTTAGGAGAGATTGAATATTGTGTAAGTGATCCTTTTGGTGGTAATTATTTACAAACTAATAATCTTCTTTCAATTCAATGACAATTAAATTTATTTACCCCAGAATGTTACGATGACTAGCATATTCGATCGCTTTTATCGCAAACTAATCTTTACATAGTATATATATCTTTACACAATGCAGTTTTTTAGTAACGGATAGAGTGATTCAAGAGAAAGTTTTATATGTATAGTAGTTACTAAATTATTGCGTTCAGAATCATGATAAGTATTAAGATGCACCTGTTCATTATCCACTACATATAGTATGTTTTTTAACAAATGTAAGAATATTATGTCATGTAAATTTTTGTGATAATAAATTTAAAAAAAAATGTAAACCCGTGCAGAGTCCTAGCGGGAAGCTAGTAATAAATAATGTGTAGTCAATAAAGGTTTTAAATCTGAATCTGTGTTATCAGGGTTGAATACGACGCGTACCGCAGTGAGTTGGAAGCGAGCGGTGGCAATCCGCCGGAGTTATTGCTAGGCAACATAGAGCGACACCGGCGACATTACGAACGACTCCGCGATGATTCCGCAGTCAAACTGAAGTTACTACACGAAAATAGAGTAAGAACACATGTTTTTTTAAAAACCTGGAATGGTAAACAATGCTTGCTACGGCCCACATGTAGTTTGATGGTAACGTCGCCTATATACATACATAAATTGAACTGCAGATTTAATGTCATTCGATATAACGGAATGTGATGCTTATGGACCCTCATGGATTCCCATTACGGACGACGAGGAGTTTTGCTTCCAGAACCTGTATTTTCATTGTCATATCGCCAGCATGACTGATTTTAAGATCTTTAAAAACATTGAGAGAAAAATTTTACATATTATATTTATGTTACTCTCATATCGAGATATAGATATATATAGATAATAGATATTATTGTAGTTTTGTTCTGTTTGTCTGTATTTGTGCTGCATAATTTCAGAAACGGCTAAATGAATTTGATTGAATTCAGTTTTACTAATGTATTGTGTAATTTTAATCGGTCCGCAAACAAAAAACTTATAAACTATTGTATCTCGGAATACTGTAGGGACATGGGAATAGCGGGTTCAAATAGTGTATTAATATAGTTTGTAATTGTCATTTTTATTTAGTCATAGTACAGCAGTGATAAAATATTAATACTAATTAATAAAAAAAATTCTAAACTGTAATTAAATTATATTATAGGTGAAAGTGATGAACAAACAGTTGCTATTGTTCCACAACGCGGTATCGGCGTACTTCAGCGGCAACAATGTAGCGCTTGAAGCGGCCGTGCGACACTTCAACATACACACGCCGACGCCCACCTCCCCCCCGCCGGCGCTCGCGACCACCCCCACCCCCGCGGTGCCACCCGTGCTGCCCAGAACTGCATAGGATAATACAACGCTTGCATCGCTGTACGGTCGGAACGCCGGGCTGTGCTCAACAGTTAGTATGTAGGTCTCTTATAAATCGGAGTTGCTTTATCTATTATTTAGGTAACCGATATGATTTGTAGCAATACCATGTCTAATTTTTTTTATAAATTTGTGGTATTCTATAATTTACATTCTACATTTTATGTTACACCTATGGCCCCTTTAATGTACACAATCCGTTGAGTAGTTTTTGCAAAAGACAAATATCCAAACATACTCACAAGCTTTATCATTATAATATTAATAAGATATAGTACCCATGTAACCCTAGCAGCTGGTCAGCATCACCCGTAATACTGCTGGCATTGGCTTACCAATAACTTACTAATCTTAGAGCAATATATGTGGTATGCATATTTGACACAGCAATAGAAAAACAATACAGAAATTATATGTTAAACTATGTAAATAAAAAACATGGTTCAAAATAATAAAGGAACTATAAAAAGAGGTCTATCGCCAACAACCCGATTTGTATGAGACCTCTCTCATGTCTTTTCCATTCATTATGTACTTATGCCATTTCACGCGTTGACAACTAGGAACAATTATCATATGGCCATTACTGTTTTGTACAAACATTAATTTATATTACCTTTAGCATATTGAGTAAAAATATTTTTTTTCCGCTTAAGAACAATAGCTTTCGTTATAGTTCGTAGCCGTAACTTTACTTTTTAAATACAATATTAATATTTTTAATGAACAATAAGAAGGACATTCTTATTTCTGACATGTGTTTTAGATTTTGTTAAGCATTGATGTTTGTAGAAATAGTAACCCATTTGCCACTGTCGGCAGGTACTAGTAAGTATCGTATTACGTTAAACAAAAACATATTAATATACAGATGAATAAATAATATGTAACCAAAGGCTGGATTCTGTGAATCTGGTTTCGACACCCCTTTAACTTGTGATGTTCACGAATGTCCCCTAATTTCAAAAATACATATTGGTTTATATAAGTACTTAACGAGAATTCGTAGGAATGATATCTAATCATTCCTAAGAATTCTCGATAGTTACATCAATCATGCATATATATTAATTACATTTCCGTTGACCAAATTAGAGCTTTGTCTAAATAACTGCCTGGTAATAAATTCACGTTTAAAAATAAAATAACGTAATATCAGATATTTCATATACTGCGAGAAAATAGTATTATTGATTATTTTTATTTTTTATTGAATAATCCGCCTATCTTTGGTAAAGCAAAAAAATGACAAATTGTCACTTAGTTTTTTTTATTCTTATACCGAGACTCATTATATCGATTATATGTATGTTGAGACTCGTAAGGGACTGTGATGTAAGAGTTTAGAAAGAAAATATTAGAACTGGTAATCGGTTAAGCGTCAATAACAAATAGTTTAGTGGTTATTACGCTATCATAATTTACATAATAATTCTTTATTGAATCTCAATTTGTTTTAAACTTTTTAGCAATTGGTTCGCTGTGATACATTTATAGGCTGAGATAGCAACAATTGGCATCTTATTCTTTTTCAAGGTTGCTGTACTACGATTTGTTATTTAAAATTTTGATTTCCACTTTTCTACGCCTCCTGTATTTATATATAAGACTAAGGTATATGATAGTGTAATGAGTCCATATAACAGTTTGTTATCGACCTCATAAAAGGAAAAGTATGAATGAGTAGCAAACCCCTATAGTAATAGTTGTTTGAATCACGACTTTAAATATAAGTAATTTGTTGCAAAGTAAATATAAGGAGTTGTTCCAATATATAGGTAAATTGGATATATCATAGTCACAAGCATTATTCGAAATATAAAAAATGTAAATTTACTGACGCGTAATTCAATGAAATGTATAATACACCTACATCACAAATGCAAAAATCATTAAAATACAATGTTGTTGGGGTTCCTTCATGATATTTTAGTGACTTGTGAATTTTGTAACAAAATTTCGTATTTTGTTACGTTTAGAATTATAAAGAAAATAAGTGGAAGAGAATGATTTTGTTTATAATTCTAAATATAAATAGTGAGTTATTAGGCACCTAATTTTCAATTATGTCTACAAATAAACTTAATAATGCAAGTAGAGTTTGTGTTTTGTGTGAAAATCACATGTTGCACCGAAATAAAAAAAATATATGCAAAATATTTTACATATTCACTAATTATTTTTGATATAATCGTAGTATGTTTTTAGCCGTTTTACTGTTGTGTCCATTCCATTATTTATGCTTTGCTTTACGCTTGCCTATACTTGTAAATTGATAGATATTTTGATAAATCAATTTTATGCGAATATTTAATATAAGCGCGAATAAATTTATTTTTAATTAACACTAAAATATGTATAATATGAATTTTTATTTTTATTTTATAATGTTGAATTATATATAATTTTTACTTTACAAATATGACCTTCCTTCTTAGCGTTTGTTATAGTATTGCAAATCAGAATTTATTTATTTATTATTGAAAAGTGTTTATTTATTTTGTTATAGTATAAATATACAAGCTAGGCATATATATATATGTATGCAGACTTACAATTTAAACTATAAAACCCTCGCACTGTTGCTTAATGAAAGAATTAGATATCATAACAGAACTAGTACTTACCTAAATTTTTCATTCTGCCCTCTATATATCTACTCGTTTGGCTCTAATCTAATTAAAAAAGTTAAATATATATTATTTACATAATAAGCAATATTATATAATAAAGATCCTTTCCGCAATGATAAATTGTATCAAAATAACAGACAATCATTAAAGGTGAGGTCATAATGATGAAGTGCTAGATGCTGTAACTGTTGATGCAATCCAAGCAACGTCTAGGGGTTTGGCTCCTCGCCTTATTTCCAATAGTCGTGGGTTCCAGTCATCGCACCGTACAAGCATTTGTATTCATGAGTATGATTGTTTGTATCGGTCTAAGTGTTTTTTATTTATATTATGTATGTATTTGTGTATCAAAAAATGTGTATTTTGTATGTAAATGTGTGTCACGAGACTTGTGAATCGGTAGGTGTAAGGAGCCTCTTTTCCGACGTACATCAACACTTAACTTTACCGCTCGTGTTTCTCTCCCTGCCAAGTCAAATCTGGCATTAGTATTATCAAATAATTTGTTTCGTAATGATTGTTTATTGTTTTGCTACATTTTGATAACTGCGGAATATAAAAGACAACTAATTAAAAATGCATTTTTATAGCATTTAATAACTTATAACATTTAGAGAATAATAACTATATTCATGATCTCCGTAATAGCCTCGTACTATATATGTCTAATATAATTATGTAACCTAATATATTCAAATCTTCTAGTTCACTTCTGTGTGGGTGACTTGTGAAATTGTTAACTTAAGGTGGATTTACATCAAGTTATATTCAGTTTTGCTCGGCTCAGAAAATACTGAATTAGTCGTAATCTCGTCTGTTGATATTGAAACTATTTCTTCATTAACTTTTAATTTACAATTGACAATAAATGAGTCGTGATTAAAAATATGTTAAAACTCTGATTACGGTGTAATGTCTATTGTATTTTAACTGTAAACAAGTAGATATATTATAACGCTTAATACTGCCAGAATGATGTTACTCAATTAAATAAAATAGTCTTGTTTTTGTCTTACAACTACCACATAGAACTTCAACAACAAAGCGCCTAAACGTCATACAAAATTGTTCACAAATGTTCGCATCAGAATAATAGTTTAAGAATATATTGTATTGTGTATAATCTAAAAATCGAACAAATACAGCAATAATAAGGAATCCATAGGTCTAAATCCACCCTGAGTCAAGTGAATGACAATACTGTATAATTTTCTGAATGAATGCATTAACTGCGTATATTATGTATGTTATGTCCGTAAATGATTGTTTAATACTAATTTAATGTGCAATATGGTATATATTATGTTAATTGGTTGTTAAAATATTTATATTTTAATACTAAGGTCACCTTTACCTCCCTAAATTGCGAGGGTACTTAATAAACTAATGACAACAAACACTTGCAAGTTATCGTAACTTATTTGCCGAATGTTGTACTCGCTTATAAACTTAGAGGTACAAAGGCGGTCTTAGACTTAATATTTAGACACTTTGTGGTTGCAGTGACCAAAATCGTTGTAATGTACATTTATTTTAAGGTACTTGTAGTTGAACCTCAGATCAGTTATAGTAGATCCGCTCAAATACTGTTATAACTAAAAAACTAATTAGCGAGAAAAAGGCGTAACTAATGTATTCCTACTTTCGTTTCTCACTTCTTGCATCTTACACCAAAATTATCTTATTGAAACATATTATATAAATTACTAAAATAAAAATAATGTTTATAATTTCGTGAGTTGTGAATCTATGCAAGCGGATATGCATTCAATGAATGCTCGTTAATCAGCTCTCAACGTCATCATATTTTATTCTGAAATGTTAGAAAGTACTTTGTATATCTCTTTAGAAATTACAATTTCTTTTTTATTCTATAATAATAATAAAACATTCAATTAACCCATCCGATAGTAGGCAATTACCGTAGCTTATGGACGCCTGATAACCTGGGGTGACACCCCGGGTATATCAGGCGTCACGGTGCCTGCCGGTAAGAAACTTTAAACTGTAAACTTTCATAAACTAGATGCAGTAGTCTCTAGAGAAAACCTTAGCAAGTAGTTTCATTCACAATCTGAGTGTGCGCTCGAGGAAATTATATAATTTAATTATTTCAACTTTTTAAGGTCACTGTGACTCACAGAATGGTATTTACTTTATTTAAATAGCAAGAGGAAGGTATTCTTAATAACTAGTCAAACATGTTTGTTTTAAATCATAAATGTGACTTATTTATATATCTTTAGTGAATAAAATATACACCTGTAGTTTTGTAAGTTAAACAATCTGTTTATCATATTTTTTAAGGAGTGTAAAATAGATCACTTGTAATTCCTATATTCTTTTATTTACATCCTTTTTATATAGCTTTGTTAATTGCTTCATATTTATCACATGGGACTTAAGTTGATGATTGTACTTATTAATGACTTGTATTTATTGTGGACCCACAAGAGGCGAAAGGCTCGTGTTTATGTTTAAGCATAGACTTTTTGTATTGTATTTGGGCGGAAGTAGAGTACCAAAGATCATCTCTTATCAGAGTACCAAAGATCTTATCTGTGCTGCAACTGAAGGTGTGACCACTCGCAATGTCAAGTAAGTGCAGTGTGTGTGTGTGTGCGTGTGGTATTATTTTTATTAATTTACATGATTCTTTACACAAGAATAAAAATCGAATGGTAGTCACTTTTAGTTAACATTTTGTGTCAAAAATAGCAGCAAAATCTCATCAGAAAGACATTAAATAGAAAACAACATGTTATATTTATTGTATCAATATAATTATTGATCAGCATTTAATATCACATAAAATCACAGATGGCCACTGTCCATATTCTCTCGAGGTCCTTGCGCATCTCATATCCGACGTGATCATGATCACCATAGTCATTTATATCATTACATCACAGAAATCCAACAATTTGGCAATTCTCTATGGGATTAAGCCTTCACAGCTGCCTTATCACCCACATCAGTGTCATTCAACTCTTCGGCTTCAGCCTTAAATTTTTCCTGAAAAATCATGATTTAATTATTATAAAATATATTTTCATATGATGTGACTGGCAATTATAAATATGACTTTGTTTCACATTATGTTGCAGTTGTATAAAGTTTATTTCGATTATTTAAAGGTAATTATAAAATACATTAGTACTTCATTCTTTTATAAGTGAAAGTGTAAATAACTAATAACATAAAACTTACCAAATCATAGATAACTTTGACAACAAGTGAACAGCTGGGGCATGTGGCTACTTCTTCTCCTGCTATCAATTCTTCCTAAAAAAATAACAAATTTTTTTAAAGAGACCGTATTTTACCTGATATAAAACAAAAAATTAAAAAAAAACATGCAATAAATTACAGAAGCCCGAGACTTGGTTTTTAAAATGAAATTAATATGAAACTAACCTTACTTATTTGAAATCTATCGCCACAGGGGCAGGGATAATAGTACATTTCATCATCCTCGTCATATTCAAAATCCTCAATTTCAATTTCGTCATGAAATATTGTCATTTTATTATGCAATGTTATTTCAACTATCCTATTACTTTCCAATTAACGTATTGAATTGAATAGGAAAACATGTGTTTTTATTTGTTTGATAACTAATCTTTTATCAAAGAACGAAAGTACTCTGTGCCAAATATGTACAAAATAAATAACCTGTGCTTCTGGAACATGCAACTCAAATGCAATTTAAAATTACTTTTAGAAAATGTGAAAATTAACTACTACTATATTTTTTATTTAATTATATAAGCTAATTCATTAATTTCTTATCATATGTTTGGCAATGATGATGTTTAAGACATTAATGAAAAAAAATCTCATTTAAATTACATCTCTTTACGATATTCCGTTTTGAATAAATATTTGCTAACTAACATAAAAATATTTTACAAACATCATACATTTTAGAGATTATTAAATTTATTTCAACAAAACTTAAAATATTGTATAGAAAAATGCAGCAAACTAGCTTTAAATTTGGCAACATTGGTATGTCACGTCACGTTTCGCTCACGTTACGGATCGGCACGTCAACTGGATATGTCAATCTTATTTCAGTAATTTAATTTCTCTCTCGCATTCATTCCATATTCATTGAAGAGGATGATCGTGGTTTTCATTTGTATATTGCAAAAATACTGTTGACAAAAGTGGTGGAGTGAGTGAATTGGTGTCTGTGTTGTTAATAATAATCTACTGAAGAATATATTGTGATTATAATCATGTTTAGTTGGTTGAAAAAAGAAGGGGAGAAGGCGGACAGCATTGCCAATGTTGTGGAAGGTCTAAAAAAGATTTATAGAACAAAACTTTTACCATTGGAACAGCATTACCAATTTCATGACTTCCACTCGCCACAACTAGAGGAGCCTGACTTTGATGCGAAGCCGATGATACTCCTCGTAGGTCAATATTCGACCGGTAAAACTACGTTTATCAAATATCTCCTAGAGAGAGACTTCCCTGGCATACGGATCGGTCCGGAGCCAACAACAGATAGGTTTATTGCGGTTATGTTCGATGAAAAAGAGGGCGTTATTCCCGGTAATGCTCTTGTTGTCGATCCAAAGAAACAATTCCGACCGCTGAGTAAATTTGGTAACGCCTTCTTGAATCGATTTCAGTGTTCTACTGTCGCCTCACCGGTACTCCAGGGGATCTCTATAGTAGATACGCCTGGTATTTTATCTGGAGAGAAGCAAAGAGTTGATAGGGGGTATGATTTTACTGGCGTGTTGGAATGGTTCGCTGAGCGTGTTGATCGTATCATTCTATTGTTCGACGCCCACAAACTCGACATATCAGACGAGTTTAGACGGAGTATTGAAGCTCTGAGGGGCCATGATGACAAAATTAGAATTGTGCTCAACAAAGCTGATATGATAGATCATCAGCAATTGATGAGAGTATATGGAGCACTCATGTGGTCCCTAGGAAAAGTCCTTCAAACACCTGAGGTAGCCCGTGTGTATATAGGCTCATTTTGGGACCAACCTCTTCGATATGATGTGAATAGGAGATTATTTGATGACGAAGAGCAGGACCTCTTCAGAGATATGCAATCCTTACCACGAAATGCAGCGTTACGTAAATTAAACGATCTAATAAAAAGGGCGCGCCTCGCTAAAGTACATGCCTACATAGTTAGTGAGCTGAGGAAAGAAATGCCATCCATGTTTGGTAAGGATGGTAAGAAGAAAGAGCTCATAAAGAACTTGGGACAGGTTTATGATCGTATACAGAAAGAACAACAGATATCCCCTGGTGATTTTCCTGACATTAAGAAGATGCAAGAAACTTTAGCAAATCATGATTTTACAAAGTTCCATGCGCTGAAGCCGAGATTACTTGAGATAGTGGACAATATGCTGGCGACAGATATAGCTCAACTTATGGAAATGATTCCACAGGAGGATGCCAACATAGTCACAGAACCATTAATAAAGGGTAAGTGTTTTTTCAATTTCTTCCTTGAGTTACTCATGTTGTAGCATTAAAACTTACTGTAGCTATAATTCTACTAGTCTGGTAATAGGTCAAAGTCCCTGTATTATTAGATTTAAATAGTTTATTATAGTTAAATACTTTATTTATCATAAAATCATTTATGGTACACCTGGTTAACAATGTAAATATTGAAAATACATTGAATTTCAATTTTATTAATAATTCTAACTTGGATTAATTTAAAAGTATGTTGAATTTTCTTATTTTATTTTTAAGTTTTTCATGTGTCTTATATTACTTAAGTTTTGTTTATAACAAAGTGCAATATGAAAAATTAGTATGTTGAATATATCTAATCAATTCAATTTTTTTAAATACTTAATGATTTCCCTTTATTCCAAAGTCTATTAAGTTATAGTGTATATTAAAGTCTATTATCCATTTTAGATCAGCATATTAAAATATTGATTCACAATATATTGTAGTCATAAAAAAAAGAATGAATTCAAACAGATAACTGCAAGAGGGGTGTGACATGAAAATAGGTAGAAAAAGAAATAAAAAATACCTACTGCATACATGTAATAGTAGTCAAGATATTGATTGTTTAGTAAATATATTGCTATTATATATTTTATATACCTTTATTCAAGGATCTTTTAAAAAGATATAATATTCAATCATTATATAATACCTATCTACAGTAATTTTATACTGATAAGGTTCTGCCTTCCTTTGCATGGCTACTTTATTAAAAATTGTATAATTCAACAACTACAAACAAACTACTGACAAAGTACAAAGTTGCTAAATACTTTAGTCAATACATGAAAATTATTAAAACAGTAGTGTTATTTGCCACACAACTGACAAGGTTGTATAAGTAGATCTTTTCTATTAACTACTGAATCTTTATACATCAATGTTATGTAGGTTTATCTACAGATATTGACCTAAATAAGTAATCTTATCAGTTTGTGATAGCGTGACATAAGGAATATGTTGGTGGTTACTATTAACATTAATGTTAGATTACAAAATCCCTATATTTAGTCACACTAATTGCTAAGCCTAGTTCAAACTGTTTGATTAATACTATTATCAGTATCTAGCAGTGCCTGTAAGTTCTTGTGAGTACATTTGTAATGTACATAAAGATAAGACGACAAGAATGGATAATATATACACTATCTATTATTTTATTTGAAAATTTTAGAATAGTAGATTATGTTTATTCCACACTCAATCTACTAATTTAAACTACAAAGATCGATCAATTAAATTTTAAAGATCAATAAAAATAATTATTTTTGCATTTCAGTATGTTTTCTCAGGTTTCTTTAGCCTATAATATGTTGACTCATACTGAAGAATATGTTCTCTGACAAATTTTGCTCTACTTAATTAATCCAGCTGTAAAATATCACAACAATAATATATATGTATTGTTGCTTCCATACTAAACGATTAGTATGGAAGGCAAGATTAGTTTTATATACAATAGAATAGGTAAACCACACTCTATAATTATAATAAATACCTAGTATTTAAAGCAATGTCACTTTATTCGTTTATCTGTTACACGTTTACTTCTAAACCAAAACTATATAATATACCTACATGAATTTTTATACTACCTCCGTCACATACACTCGTATAAGGCCGATGTGGCTCGATAGTTAAGTACTTAATAAACGTACAAATTTATTATATGGTTAACATTTTTATTACACGCAGTGTAATAAATTTATTTGACGCTAACATTGAGGTGCGTAAGTAAAGACATCACACGCATAATACTAAACTGCGTTAAGTTAAACGTAACAAGTTTTGGAAAATCAGCTTTAGATTTAACACTTAAAGATCCTTTCCCAATGTTTACATTTTTTGAGTTATTGTACGCGGTATTAGTATATAGCTTAGGTCATATATGTATATATATATGTATATATATATACTAACGCTGAGTATCGTCACTAGAGTGCGACGGCGAAAGTGACCACTTCACCAGCGATCCAGGCAGATACGTTCTGATTGCTGAAAATTTAAGTAGACTACCCAACAATTTATAGAATTAACACAATTGTAGGTATAAACTCTCGACACTTGTGCGAAAGTTTCGCATTTAATTAACAACTGAAACATATTCTTAGCGGCTTATTAAGATAGCATTGTATTTTATCATACTAATATTATAAATGTGCAAATTTGGCTCCTGTATGTTGTTTCCTTGTAATGACTAAATTTGTGATTGAATCGCAATGAAAATTAACGCAAAGATAGATTAAATCACGAATACATTATATCACGAGGACGGAGAGAGAACTGAACTTCTTAGCATTTCATGGATTCACCGGGTGCCGGGTCTATTGTATGGCAGAGAGAAAATCTCCGAGTAGTTTCCGAGACTTGAGACCCAAGTGTAGGTTGTCATCGGTCGTGTTTCTCTCCCAGCTTAGGCAAATCTGATAGGAATCTGCAAGTGCAACTTTAGATACACATTCGAATATACAACCCACTGTAGTTCTAGATAGGCTAAGATTTTTTAGAAGATTATAGAGGAATTTCGCTGGCATACCTCTTGCACCTATTTCTACCGTATATGGATAAATTAACCACATAGCCATTTTTAATTAATTCTAATTAATACATCGTTCTATTTGACACTACATGGTACGATGAGCTCTACCAGTATTACACGTTTTGCTTTTTTCGAATATATCAATTATGCTTAAAACATAGAAAAGTTTAAAAGGAAATTGTGAATAAATCGTTTTCCATTTTACTAAATTTTATTAAATCAGAGTATTAACAGTGTTCGAAATAAAACCGAAACAATTGTTAGTAAAGTATATTTTTAATTGTTCTCAAATAATGCACGGGCATACTAAAGAGACACAATCGAACATTCGAGAAAACAATTTTTATGTCAAAACGTGATCGTGAACATTCCTTTGTTCAGTGTTGCATAATCATTATAATGGAGTTCTCACATTTGAAACATTACATTAATTAATCTTATATATACAAAAGGGTAAAAGGTAAAGAGAAAATTACAAACAAGGTTATATAGTTTCTATTGTGCATACGAATATTACGAATGCGAAAATATCCGTCTGTATATGTATATCTATATATGTATGTTTGTCTGTTTCTTACTTTTGGTTTCGTCTAACGTAATCGAGGCAAGGCAAGGCAGGCAAATGCCATGCCATGCCATGTGTGTCTGTAAAATACTTAAAAAAAATATTTTCTGTACTTTATACTTATAAGTAATACTGAGTTAAATAAAATAATTTTTAGAATATTATCAGTTAGTATACTCATTAATGCATGCTAATCTCAGAAACAGCTAAATCGTTTTTATTGCGGTTTTCCCTGATCTATCGTGTCAAGCTTCCCAAGTAATATTTAATGTTTTTTTTTCATTTTTATCATAAACAAAAACGTTAAATAAACCTTTTGTTTTTTATTGTATGGCATGTTAATGGAATGACGAACCGTGCAATGGTCGTGTTGTATCATATATAAAAAAAAATCTCCATCACTAACAATGATATCTCCCATAAACAAAACCTATGCAATATAAATAGTCGACATACTTTTTGTCCTTTCTAATACCAAATCAATCATTCTACTTCAGCCTTAAAAAAAGAAATCGCAGTAATTCAGCGGCACCCCTATCAACTGTCAACTGTCAAGGAGACATCAATGCGGTCCACCATCATTTTGAGACCGCCAAGCCGACCTGTGTGTCCGTTACATATATCCTGTATATCCTGTATTACAATATAGTCCTATATAATATGTCCGGCTGATACTTCCGGGTTGTAGGTAGGTGGCGCGACCATTGCTATACATACAGCTAAAATTAATTGGACACTCTTATAATAAGGACAGTAATAACGAGTAATTATGTCCTACTAATGTTTAATATGAATTTATCATTTTATATGCAATTACAACACATTCTGAATGCTTCGATCGTGAGGTCAAGACCGTACGTGATTATTACAATTTAATGAATAATAATCTATTTACACTATTTGTAAATAAAGAGGTAGGATTTTGTTGTGAGGAAAATAAACTCCGGAACATTTGTACCGGTAGGTACCGGAGCGAACCACTAGTCGATATATATGCATATACTACTATTATGTGACTATACATATTTGTGAGTTTACATGTTCAGGATAACCTCCGATAATAATGATCCCATCTTCAATTCTTTTAGTGTTGGATAGCTCATTTACCGAGAAAAGCTATAAGCTATAATGACGTTACGCTATGACCAATAGAACTGGAATAGCAATGAGAAATAAAAAAAATACGAGCAAATTTTGACGCAGATGAAGTTGGTTCAGGTTAATTTACAATATTTACAGTATATATTATTATGTATACCTACTACAAATATTGTAATTATTGTATATTATATTTCATAGTTATATATCATTCGACATTGAACTGTGTTCAACATATTGAACATAGTAACAATGACTAATTTTAATGATAGAGGATTCTACTATAGTGTTATGTAGGTACAAGCAATGTTGTAACTACTCAACTACTTATATATATATTTGCAATGTACTAAGTACGTAACCTATAATTTTTTTTTATATAACTATGTATATTTATTTTGCACCCGCCTACGCTAACGGTATACGTTGGCTGCACCAGTGGAGAATGATAAGACAGTCATGAGGTCAGGTTAGGCCATTGAATCTGAATAGAAATTGACCAGGTTAGTTTACAAAGGGTAACCGTGTGGAGGTCGATTGGACCCGGTACATTACTAGCGATGGGGTCACTAGTAAACATATCCATATAATTAAAAGTATCAAGTGCATACATAAAGGGATGGGTTAAGGGTTTCTTAAAAACGGAAAGTTGTTAGAAATGTATATTTCAACTCGAGACTTTTCAGTCTTGTATTTTACATATATTTTATATAACACATTTCATATTGTCAAATAGTTCCAATAAACCTTTATTTT